CATTTGGTATCCTTTTTTTCTGAATACAGATGGCCAGTTATGTGTAAAGAAACAAAACTGGGATAAAAAGAATACTTTCAAATGTAAAACCAGAAAAAGTTGCACTTGTTACTAATTAAGAGCTATAGGCTTTTCAGATTCAGGTCTTCTTACATCTTCTCTTTCCTTTCTATTGCAGCACAGGTCTTGTATCCATAAAAATTGTGCAGATTATGATAGCTACCCTAGTAAAAATTATTTGTGATGACTGAAAACTAGGGATTTTAAAATATCAATCTAAATCTAGTTGATAGAGTACACTCACTGTAGCTCACTGTAACAGCATTGGGGCATAGAATGGCCTTTGTGTCCTTTTCTCCAAGTTTCTCTAAGAAGAACCTGATCTAAATGATTACGACTCATGTGGTTGGATCAATTTGCATACATACTTAGGGGACAGAAGAACAAGTCTGAGCCATCAGATATTACTAGAGATGATCTGTCTCCAGTCAGCTTGCTTCTATGTGTCTGTAGCAATTTGAACTGAGACTCTCTAATACATAATCAGCATATGGAAAGAAATATTTTATATTTAAATTGTATAACATAAATATTCTATGTTTTGAAATACCACACTAAATTATTGAAACATTCACAATACCCACTGTTTTTAATGATATTTTTAAAACACTTGTTAGAGTCAATTTATATGCCAGCAGCCAAAGAAGGTGATATTCTGTGTCCAGATTGATCTGTGACACAGCATTGCTCTGGCTCACTATGTCATCTTATCTGTTCGTATCTACAGATGAAAATGGATTATACTCTTTGGAGTGGGCCATAACATTAATGATAAACAAAGATTAATTTTGATTCAGTTTAAGATTCATTGTGTCTGGATGCAGGGGGTAATGCTCTTACATCCATGATTTTTGATCCACTGTAGCTATAAGCTCCTGCTGCTTCCTGAATCAATTCCACTCACTTGCTTTGCCTTTGAAAACATTTCTGCTGCACCTTGGCTATTTTTGCACATTTGTATGCAGACATATTTGCCCTTTGTTGTGTTATGCTCATTGATGCTCAATTGATTGCTACATTTCTTTTGGGTTCTAGCTCTACCAGAAGCTATTCTCATGCAGTTAAAAATGTAGGAAGTGTAGTCACTTGATGGGAGCTGTTACAAAAGGACTTTCACTGCAGTCAATATTGTTATTATCATAACATTGCTTGCTCAAACAGCTAAAAATTATTTACCAGCCTGGTGAAGGTGACACAAGCAACATCTCTGAAGACCTTTTCTATTTATGTTTCTGTTATTGTGTTGCCTAAGCATTCCTAGGCAGCATTCTTTTACAGTGCGAGTTAGATTATGTAGTAAATAGCCAAGTGTGATGTGTGGTTTTGCTGTGACACAGGTCTGCTTTTCTGTATGTGACCAGGAAGGGACTATTTACTTCCCTCTGTATAGTTCTCTGTTGTGGTTGCCCTCAATTTCTGAATAACATCTCTAAATTCTCTGATTTACTAAATGTGGGTCTTCCACAATTTAAGATAATACAGCCTTTGGGACACAGAAGAGTCACAGTAGTTGTATTTCATTTCTGCACCTGTTGGTTATGTTGTTTTCCATTAGAAAAATACTTGTAATAAGGTTCTGTATCCATCATGAGAAAAAAAAAGGTAATAAATTATAAAGTTTCTATAGACAGTCACATAATGAATTTTGAAGTACAGTGCTGAGTGGGCAGTGTTGTATGGGAAATAAAATTCAGATACTCTACATTATTTTTTGCAAGCTTGTTGATGAATTCAGACTGAACTGCCTGTAAAATGATGTGCCTCCCTGAGGCATGCTGAGACTAACACAGCCCCTTGCTATGAAGAAGCTCCTGTGAAGAAAATTAACTCTATCTCACCCAAAACCAGCCCAGTAGTTTAAATTGGTTGCTTAGTTTTATTCTCCTTAACTTCTATTCTCATTCTTCAAGTACCCTTTACAAAATTCAGCTGCCAGTGGAAAAATAAGTTTCCAACAGTAAAAGCCTGATTGACCATGGGAGTGTATTACCTTGGAGAAATCTGAAGGAAAACATCAGCTTTAGTATATAAGATCATGAAAAGTAGAACTCTGACAGTGCAGAATAAAGTGTATTTTAATAAAGATATTAGAGTGTTAAGACTTCTATGTGTAAATACTAGAAGTACCTAGTGAAGTGAACACAAAAGATTTTTAATGGTGTGAAGGGCCTCCTAGGGGGGACTCTAGCTGTGTAAGAGTTCAGGTAAATGAAAACAAAATAAAATTAGAAAATCCAGAAATGAAAAAGGAATGAATTTAGACTCTGACTGGTTTGTTCTTTCCATAGAATATATTAATCTAGTGAGTATCTGTCCTCTGTGTTAGTTCTAGAAGGTTAAATGTGCAGTGGTATGTCAACCATTTGGGAAGTTACCAATAATCAAAAAAAGCATATGAACACCAGTAAAGAAGTTACTGGGATTTGTACCATTAAATAATTTTTCTTTCAAAATTTTATCTCAACACTGGATTATTTAGGAATGATCTTCAAAGAAGTAAGAACATATTTGTACCTCTTTCTTTATAATGAATACAAAGAAAATACATTTTTAGTCTCTTAAATAGACATCTGAAATAAGGCTGTACAAAACTTGAAGGCTATCTAGAAACAAATCCAATTATGGCTAAAGCACTTGAGAAAGTGAAAGCTGATTTAATTACTTCTTTCAAAAGAAAATTACATCTTTCAGCTTTCTATTATTAGAACCCGACATTTATTTTTATCACTCTAAAAAAAGAACAAGCTTGGAAGAGAAGCTCTCTTCATGGAATTCACACTCGAATCTTTGGGACTTAATACTCAAGCCGAAAATTTGATTTCTTAAACAAAATTATGATTCTCAAGAAAACAAGCCAGAAAAAATGCTTTGCGATAGATGGTATTTGTATTTTTAGATATGGGATTAGAAAATACTAATTTAAGCATTAGAAAGACCGAAGTGGGCATGATTGTTATTTCATTATCTTTAGAAAAAAGTCATCCTTATTGCTGAACATGCATAAAAATAACAGCAGGCTTTTCTTAATGCAGTGGAAATATGCTATTATGGCATTAAAGAAGTTGGAAGTGATGAAGTCACATTTCCATTTAATTTAAGCGTTCTGGAGCTGTTTTAGGAGTGAACTCAGCTTTACACACAGCTGTGCATTTTCAGGCCAGCTAAACACACTCCCATGGCTCTTGCTGCTGCTCAGGTGAGACCTACCTGCTAGGGAAAGGGCTAAAGGACAGATAAGAGGCTAGACATAAGGTTTTGCCCCATGCAAATAAGTTTCAGATGTTTGCTCAAATCGTGTTTGCCTCCTTGGAACAGCAGTGCTTCCTGTGAATACATTTGGCTTAGCTCCTGAATATAAAATTGAGTTTGATAACCACTCACCCTATGGGTGCATTTCTCAGGAAATTAAACTGGAATCTTAAAAAGTTCATGCGTCTATATTAAAACCTGAGAGTGGCAGATAGTCATTACACAGAAGAAACTTGAAAATATTTTCAGATTTAGTTGTGTATCACCCTAATGGAATAAATTAATTTCTTCTTGGGTGGAATTGTAGGAGAGTAAGCAGAAGAAAAAGAAGTTCTACTCTTACCTTAAAAATGTGTCAAATAGATACTGCTTGTCTAAGGAAGTATCACCCAATTAATCCCACTGTTTTTGATGAGAAGTATGAAATACTGTGAAGATATTTGTGAAGACTAATAGCCTTAGTTTGGTAAAATACCCTTTTTCTAGTATTTGAACAATTAAAATGTTATTTAAAATCTATTATATCCTCATCAGACACTGGCTTCTTTTGGCCAGTGATTTTTAAGATATCTTAATTCTAACATGAAACATGGATGGCTGGGAGGTCTGAGCAAGGGGGAAATTAACAGTGAGGAAGGGAAGTAAACTGAAATGGTGGAAATGATGAAAGAGAGAATATTCGTGTGAAATAACTATTTGTGAATTATTGAGCAGAGGGTCTTGTCTCCAGATAGGATCAAACACTTATTCTACTGCCAAGTAGAATGTAGGTAACCTTTGAGAAATGAAACCTCAATATGTATGTTGTGGTTGTGCCCTATAATCTAAGTATTCTTGGATTACATTAAATATTTTTGTTTTATTTGTCAGTTTGCCTGTTGAAGACTTATCTAAATTAAATTCATTTTGGGCAAAGTGATTTTTTTTAATTGGGCCTTGCTGCTGCTTACTACCTAAATCTGAAAATATGGCATAGACAACAGCAGAAACTCTTCTGCTTTTGAGGGAAGGGTGTAATCATGACAGGCTGCTACAGAATTGTGCTAGATACTTAGAAATGTGAATACTATTACTGACTTCGTGAACACAACTGCCGAGGCTAAAAAATTAGATTCTAACCATGTATTTTGAATTTGAATCAATAATGCTGAAGGCTTTTTCTTCTTGAAATACTTCTGTGTTTATAATGTAGATAATTATCACATTAGAAGAATAGTTAATTATTAATTCTTTTGAAAGTATTAGGATGACAACTTTGTGAAATTTATGTATTTTTCAAAAGTATTGGGGGTTTTTTTTGGTGGTGATTTGAAGTACGTGCAAAAATTATAAATGGAGTAACATTAGCAAAAGGACGTCAACTCTCTTAGTAGTCCAGTGGAGATAACAATCATGATTTTTTGAAGTTATTCTCTGTATGACTCACCCATCCTTCAAAGCATAGAAAAAGCTATTTCAGTCAAATGATGAAGATAATACGATGCTTTATTGGTGTTTGAACCATAGAAGGCCTTTTAATATTTTGTTGGGCTGCACATGGTAAATCTAATATTATTTAAATTATAAAGCAAAGCAAGAGATATGTTACATAGAATTATTATTTTTGTTATTTTTATGATTAATCATAACAATAATTGTGGTTATGATTATTTTTACCAGTAATTTTATAACTATGTCCTTTTCCTGTATAGGGAGTTGGTGTCTCAGTCCATGGCCATTTTCGAGTTGCTACAGAAAAGACTGTTTTTGCCATGCCAGAAACAGCAATAGGTAAGTATTTTAAGAAATTATAAAATGTTAACTTGTTTAGGGTTTCACTGTCTGTGTAGTCAGTGTGAAATGTCTGTGACTGAATGCTTTGGTGGTAGGGAAAGAAATTTAAAAGGGAACTGGAGATGCCTGTATATGGAAAGTACTTTCTGTTAAATTATCAGAAACTTATCTGTATTCTGGGAGTTGATCATTGAGCCTCTTGACTGTGGAGACTGACACAAAGGCTGTCAGCAGAAAACTTTTTAAAAAGAACTGAGTCTTGCTTCAGATGGGGACAGATAAAGTCTTAAGCTCCCAGTGCAGGTACACCAGCTTTACATTGGGAACTCGGTATGAGTCAAATTGGGTGTACCACAAGCTGCTCTGCAATGTTACTGAGACAGATTTTGGAATTCCAGCTTTTCTTGTAGAGATTATTAATGTGGACCCATTACAACTGTGCACAGATTGTGCCTAGGCAAGATCACAGTGTCTTCAGTGTCACCTTTTTTTGTTTCAAACAGCAACATGTACCTTGTTTTCTAATGTTTGATCCTACAGTTTGTCAATTCTGAGAGGTACAAAAAAGAAATATATCCCAGAGCTACATAAAGATACAGGTATGGCCCAAGAAAAACGAGTCATATTAAAGGGAACTCTCCTGATGCGACTGTCAAGCACAATAAAATATAAAAAACCACCCAAATACAAGCAAGCTCATTACCATTTTAATTCCTGGGAGAAATATTAGTACAATTCCTGCTAGCCGATAAATGTAATGTAATTTTTCTGAACAAGTAAAGTTGGGATGAAAAAAACCAAAAACTACTTCAGCCCTCCAAGGATTGTTTTATTGCTGAGGAAAAGCTTAGTAAACTAAACTTAAGCTTTAATACAACATGAGTTTTCTAAGCTTTGAAGTTAATAATCAGTTGTTGTATATGAAAACCATTTGAAGTAAACAATTTGTATTTTTTGAACTAAACAGAGGTTCATTGCTGTATGAAATGACTCTAATAATAAAAGCACTTTCACTTTCTTCAAAGGTGAAGATATGAGTAGTTTTATATTAACAAGAACTATGTACTTTACACAGATTTATTGTGTTGACAAGGAGTTATTTAAACAAAAATAGACTGTGAAGACATGAAGGAAAAGCTTAGAACTTGCTTAGGAAAGAAAGTAATTAAACCCCTTTTAGGATCACTTAGAAATAAAACCACTGAAATCTGTTTGGATTTAAAGGCTTAGCTGTTTTGATCTCTGTGGGGTGTGTTTAAAATGTCTGGTTCTCTAGATACTGTATTAATTTCTTTTTTTCATGTGCTCACTTATTTCAGTAGGCATGACACCTTTGCTGTGAAGTGAAAACAAAGCATTCATTCAGCTGCTCTGTTTTCACACAATTATTCTGCATTTGTACAGCACCATAAATAAAAAGATGTAGATAAATATGCCATTTAGCAAATAGAAAGAAAATGCAGTTCTAGACTGTAGGAGTTCTATATAGATAAGATAAAGCATTGAAAAGCAGCACAGAAGTAGGAAGGTGTGGAAAAACCACTGGTGGGGAGAGCAAAGGATGAAAGTATAAGGTATGGGCTTTGAGGTGTTGTTACTCTAATAATGGATACTTTCTTGCATATCTCTGCTAAGTTTTTAGCTCTCTAGAAGTCAATACTAATAAATTCCCAACCCCCTGTGCCAGACAAGGTAAGAATGTGGCAGCACTGCCTTTCTTCTGCTTGGCATATGCAGAGTTGCACCTTTGGGATTACAGCAGCTGTGTCAGGGCACAGGCTGCAAGTCAGCAGTACAGGCATAGGCTCATGGCCTGGGCAGCCCAGCAGTAACACAGCTCTTCTCTTATTTCACTGGGAAATCGGGAAATGATTGCTGAATGCTAACTAAAAACCAAAAATCAGGTATGGAATGCATTAAGACAACCCCAGCAGCAAAGAGAAACATATGGGAAGTGCTATGGAGAGAAAAGTAATCTGTAGAACATGGACAAGAGGAGAAAAAACAAGAGAAAAAGGAAGACAGGAACATTGAAAAGGATGCAGTAGAAGCTATAGCAGACTATGCAACCAAGTAAGTTTAAAGTGGATTAGGTAGACCTTCACTAATCCTGTTTGTAAATTCCTTAATTAAAGAAACCCTCATTCAATTTAGGTTTATTTGACTCTAAAGCTACTTAAGCTAATCAACTTCACAGTTTTTGTAGAACTGATTTCCTGTGTATGGCCAAGTGGAAGGACACTATGGATCCCAGTAGAAAGATGTTTTTCCTCTGGAAATGTGCTGGAGTGTAGGGGGAGCAGTAGTCCAGCATTAGTATTATTTTAACTACAGCAGAAAGAAAAAAAAATGTTGCTGTTGTTGTTCTGGTGGATGGAGAGAATAATGTAATTGCCTTTTTGCTTTGGAGGGCATTTTTAAGATAGGTTTTACTTTCAAATGAGGTTGGGTTTGGTTTTTTTATTGCAGTAGAAGGATATCCGAGGGGAGACAGATGAATAGAAACATGAAGTCTTGTAATCACTGTTGTGATAGCTCAAGCTGAGAAGGTAAAATGTAGAATAGACTTTGAGAATGTGAGTACAGATAAAAAAAAAGGTAAGTGGTGAATTTGAGTTAATACAGCTCAGGGCTTTTAAAGGGTATCGGCAAGGCATTCCAGATTTCAGAAGAGTTGTATGTCTCAGTAGCCTGGGAGATGAGGAATAAATCAATTAATGACAGCACACACATCAGTGGGAATAGAATACTACAGCTGTAACTGATAGGAAGTGACTCCTAAACCCAACCTTTTGATGTATTAGAAGCAGCAGAACAAAAAGAAGACCAAGAGGGAGCCAGCAGAGAAAAGCTGAGTTGGGTTAGATATGAAGATTATTAAAAGGGAAACACTAAACAGCAGTTTCTTCTTCTGGAAGAAACCTCCCCTTATTCCATCCAAGGCGGGGGACTATTCAGGGAGCACTAATTTCTCAATGTCTCAAAATACTTGGAATATGGTCTTTCTATAACACATACATTGACTTTTGTGAACAAAAGTAATTACATGTGAGTGAAAAATTACCATCTGCTATCAGAACCCCATTTAAACTCCTTATGAATTTTCCCAGTTATTACCTCTTCTTTGACAACTATCTTACAAGTTTCTTATTGCTCATTTGTATTCTATTTATTTTCATGATTCATTCTCTGAAGTGGAAAAAAAAAAACCCACAACACCTTTAATTTCTTTAAAAGACTCTCAGTTTCATGAATGCACTATTGGTGTGATTTCAAGGTAGTAACTGGACCCTGCTTCTATGCATTCAGATTTCTGAAACCAAGACTAAATACTGAATCAATCTCAATACTGAAATCAATAGCTAAACTAAAGTTTTCTCAAGTTTAAGTATGTTTAAAAAGATATTTAAATTTATTTTTGGTGAGCAATTTGTATAACAGAAGGTAGATACTTTCCAGTACAAATTTTAAAAGTATTTAAAACTCTAGTTACAGCTTTAAATTATTTTAAAATTTACCCTAATCTGTAGATTTTAAAAAGTATATAAGAGAGTTACTAAACTCTGGAGAGATTAATATTATTTTTTAATATTAGCTTAGTCACAATCCTGGCAAAGGGCCAAGTACTAAGTCAGCATCTTGTGCCTCCACCTTCAGGAAGACCCTGGCCATATTGTTGAACTATTATTGAATTCTCAGCCCCCAAATTTGTTCAAACTAAGCTGTGCAAGAGGCACTGCATTAGTGTTTAATATTTTTATCATAATAAAAGATTTCAGTGAAAAAGCAGCATCCAGTTTGAGCTTGCACAAATTATTTCACAATTCTTTGAGTCACTTCTATTTCCTTTCTGAGAACACACTTGATTTTTCAAGCACCTAAAATTGTCTGAAGTTGTTGGCAAGTAGAATAAATATTCTTCTTTGGTATATGTTTGCAAAGTATGTGCCAGTAGGAAGGATGAAGTTTGGAAAGTGTTCAAGAGTTTGCTTTTAGGAAGGGTTTTGATGCCAGAAATGTCAAGTCAAGTCAAGGAGAAATTTGGGCAAGGTTGCTGTGCCTCTGTAAGGAAGATGAAAGCGAGACAAGAAAAAATTGCTGCTAGTGATGATTAGTACAAGAGCTCCTCCCTTCACTTTTGTTTTGTGTTGTTTATTGCAGGCCTTTTCCCCGATGTAGGTGGAGGGTATTTCTTGCCAAGGCTCTCAGGAAAGCTTGGCTATTACCTCGCGCTGACAGGATGCAGGCTGAAGGGAAGGGACGTGCTCAGAGTTGGCATCGCTACGCATTTTGTAGAATCTGAGAAGGTAACGTGCCAACAGTGCTGGCCAGGGCACAGCCCACAGCCACACTGAGAGCTTTGGGGTTTCAGCACCCCAATACCCTGCTACCAACACAGGTGTCTGCAGAGGTGCACTTACGTGAGCTGGCCATGCCCTGCCAGCAGGGATGGTGAGACACCCTCAAGCTGTCCTTCTAACACTTGCCAGCTGGTGACAGCTTTGCTTGAAGGAAGGAGCAAATGGTGCTGTTTTTACAATTCCACTGTTGGAAGGGCATGATCTACTCAGCAGAATGAAGTTGCTTAAAAAAATTTGCCATTTAAACAACAGTGTATGAAACTAGAGATTAATACACCTGCAGAGTTTGCAGTGAAGGCAACGCTCCATTAAAATTTTCTTTCCTCTCAGGCTGGCACAGCCTGGCTTTACCTGCTGCAGCTGTAGCACTGCTTTGGGGGGCTGCTTGGGAAGCAGTTCTTTGATGGTCACTGCAGACATAATGGAATTGGAGTAGTTCAACACTGACACATGAAATCTGTCTCCTTGTGTTGTTTGCTTTGTACTCCTTTAGGGTCTGTCAAAGCTGGGGAGGATGAGGGAGTATTTATATATGTATATCATACTATTACCATAGTAATAACTCAAGTTGCATGTTTTGATTTGCTTACTTGTAATTAAATCTTATTTTTAACAGCTACCTGCCTTGGAGAAAGACCTGATAGCACTGAAATCTCCTTCAAAAGAAAAAATTGCAGATTTATTGAACTCTTACCACATGAAGGTAATCTGAAATTACTGAAATCAAGCAAAATTGTTAAATATATGTAGACATTATCTTTTTATCCATGTTACTGAATATCTTTTTCTATGTTTGAAAATAATGAGTTTCCAAACTCACTGCACTGTCTCCATAATATTTGTGTTAGCCCATGTAACAATGGGCATGAAAATAAAAGGTTTTGCCTTTACAATCAGTGGCTGTTTTAACTCTTTTGATGTGCATTGCAGTTCTCTTTCAAAAGAAAACCTCTAGAGTCAAACTAGTATTCAATGTTACTCAGTCTATTACTCTGCTGTTTTTCAGCTTTCAAATGAGCTGTCTCTACTCTTGTTATTTCTATTTTGTAGTTACTAAGTTCATAAATAAGATTAATTAGAAAAATAAATGGGATAAGCTAATTTACATCATAGTACTGATTATTTTGACAAAACAGAACGCTGTGAAATAGGAGTGATTATATGTTGCAGTATTCTGCTTTACAAGATTACACTGAATGGAAAAGGAAACTGTATTTTTAGTTATCAGAGCTGAAATGCCAGGGAACCTTTTCAGCTTCAGCTGCTGTTCCTGAAACATCTGCTTATGTCCTAAACCCCTTAATGCCAGAAGATGTGAAACATTTGACACCCTTCCTACAGAAGGCTGATGGATCTATCACACACTTTGTGTGCCTAAATAAAATTTTGTTAAATGACATAGAAAAGAGAAGGAAGAGAAATGCCCCTTTTTTTTTTGGTCATTAAAAAAGCCTAAACATAGGCCTGTATATTTTAAAGAAAATGCAAGGTTATTTTTAAAAACAATCTCAAGATTTATCTGCACGTTTTCTAGTGTATTGCACAGAAGTGTTTTGATAGAATAATCAGAATTACTTTTGTACAAGATAATCACCCAGACAACATACATACATAGTAGCTCAGAGCAAGCCCTGCAGTATGAGGCAACATCTTTAACATTCACAGGATAGTGCCAAGTTCATATATACTCACTGCAAAATTTTAATTCATTAAAAATTGCACTGTCTTATGAACATGAGGAGTTCAGTTTATGATAAGGTATTTCTGGAACATAAGTCACTGAAATTTTTTTATACAATTTTCAGTCTAAAATTACCAAGTAAAACCAAGTAAAATATGTACTTACTTTTAAAATAGTGCACAATTGATCAAGAAAAGGAGTTTGCTCTTCATGAACATATGGAGAAGATTAACAGGTATTCACCATTATTTTAAAATATTTTATTCTTGTGGGTAGAGAACATGAAGTTAAATCTAGTAACAGTATTTCACAGATAAGGTGAGAGAAATTGCCTCCAAGTTTAAGTAACATTTTGTCTTTAGAAAGCTTTAGCTAAAGCTCATTAAATGTTTCACTTATCACTACATTAAATACTTGGACAAACTAGTCTGATTCATAGCCTATGGCACATTAAAATGAACATATTCTGTCAATACTGGATGAGAATTTATGAGAGTAACTGTTCCATTAAACAGGAAATGTTACCTAGCACATTTCCAGGACTCAATGGGTAAAGGCCATTTCTGTGACAGCTTGGAACTTAAGGAAAGGAGAAATAAGTGAGAGTGATAAGAAAGAGCTAAATCTCTGCAAGAAGGATGGCAGTAACTACATTTAGAGATAAAAGATGCTGACACCAAATCAGTAGAATGGAGCTGATAGCTAAAGATTTGCCATGTTACAAAATACAGCTAAGACTGATGGTAGTAATTGAAGTTTATAGATAAATACCATAGTTTGTTAGTAAAGTCGAATGAAACACTACTGAGCAACATGGAAGACATTACTAAGAAAAGCCAAATCAGCTGTTTGTGCTCTGTTTCTGATGTGTTACTGACCCTGCAAAGGTAAAACAGAGACTGAAGCAGCTTGTTAACTGATTTTTTTTCTTCTAGTCTTTTTTCAGCAAATAGTATGGAAGAAATTGTTAAAAAGTTAAAGCAAGATGGTTCTCCTTTTGCCATGAAGCAGCTAGAGGTAAAGTCTTCTATGTAATTTTTGTTAGAGATTTTAAGTCTGGTTTTATGGTTTCTTATCATAGGGCAAACTTTAGTTACCCAATAGGGCTTTGGACTGAGAGACTCAGGTTTTCACACACAGTCCTGAGGGATTCTCAGTAGTTCTACTCAGACAAGGGTAGTCCTGTAAAATCACACAGTGTGAGCACCATCATATGGTGCATAAAACTGTAATTTAGTAAAAAAACCAAACTCCCTTTTTTTCCCTCCTCCCCACAGTCAGGGGGTTGTTGGGAACAAGTATTCCCTTTATAGCTTATTATATTTTCAAGGTTTGGAATAAAACAGTGCCAGAACAGTGTTGTTGCTTTTCTTCCATTCCAGATATCTCATTTGGGTAAACAGCAAAAAAATTTATAATTACAAAATATTTTTTGATCTATCTAATGCATTTCTGAATGTTGCATCTAGTCATGACTCAAAAAAAGTGCAGCAGTGCTACACACATAATTCATACTTCAGCCTCAAAAGCAAGAAGCAACTTACATTAATTTATAAATAATATGTGTATTTTATTTTTTTCCTTTGAAGTATCTTTGTTCAGGTGCCTTGTAAAAGTTTTGTTTGGAGCTAGTGAAATATTCCAACTGGATAGAACTGAAGTGTTCCTCCAACAAAAGGGTTGTTTTACTTTAGTTACAGCTCACAGAAGAAATCCTCCTTTCATAGTAAAATAAAACATCCATCATCTCTGACTTTGATATGAGTAGAAGGAATTTTATAAGGTAGTATTCACATTAGGCACCAGTCACTTAAAAAAAAAATTAATTCAAAATGTCACTGGAACTCTCAACCAGTTTTTGAGAAAGGAACTTCTAAGACTATCTTTGTGCCAATCAGTACATCTAGTACGGTGCAAGAAGTTTAGCATATGTCTTATAAAAGCAAAATTGAATAAAAGGGAAAGTTGATTTTTTTCCCCTAGTATTCCAAGTTTCATTGAATAAAACAGTCAAAGGGTTGGTGCCAGAATAAAAATACTATCTGTTCATATTTTATTGATTAGGTACAGTGGTTGTTGAAAACAACAAAGAATTATTTGTTCTTTTGCCTTATTGTTTATTATAGTATATTTGTTTAACATTTTTAATTCAGAACTTAAAACTAAGTAACCTATTGATGACTAAATTAGGTCATCTACTTCAAAGTTATGATTTTGTGTTACTGGTTTTTTTAAATTCCTGAACAACAACAAAAAAGGCTATTTTGTTGCTTCTTCCGTTCTCTTATGTCTTTAATAGGACTTTTATAACAACTTTTTTCTTTCATGTGATTCATAAATGAATGTCCTTGGAGTTGATCAGAGTTTTAGAACAATTGTCTGTTCTGTTCAAGAGATAAGACTGTGTTAGCATGACTTGCTTCAGTCCATGCAGAAATTAATGGGAAAATCACCATGAAACAAATCACACATTTTCTATCAGATGCAAGACTTTAGTGTGAACAAATACTTCAATTTCAGAGGAGTTTCTTACAGCAGATATGCTGTGCTAAGCAGTAGGATTAGGCAAAGTTGTGAAACCAAGGTTTCATGTTAGTGTCCAGGAACAACAGCAAATCCACCTGATAAATATCCTATCAGCTGATTTGGTAACAGCAATGTCTATGCTTATTCTCCTTGTTTGTTCCTGTATTTATTATACATATAAGTAAGCTCATGGAATAAGCCCTAACTGAAATTTTAATACAAATATCCGAATTTGGAGGGACCTTGTACCTTGGATAAACAAGGCTAATAAAATGGAACTCCTAGTTCTGCAATAATCCAAGTATGCCATGCTATCCCAAGTACCCTGGTCTCTTTGACCTAAAGTACTCCTGCTTTTTACTTTCAAAACATGCCTGCTTGGCAGGCTGTCACATATCTGATACTGAAATATTGTGTGAAGAAGAATATAAAGTTGTTAAAATCCTACTTGAGAATAACTTCATGATTTATACCACATTTTGAACCCAGCTACAAACAGGTAGAAAGCTACAATACTAACACTTTGAACTCAGTAGTTTTCAAACCTTTAAACTTTGTAGTGCTACTTTGCTTTCAGAATTTACATGAGCCAAAAAGCTTTAATCTGAGGGGTAGGTGTACTATTTCTAGTGGGATGAAGTAAATGCAGAGTCTAAACCTGAAAAGCATCAGATACTTGACTTGGTTTTCACATAATGCTTTCTTAGAGGTTTTTGGCAGGACAGTGCACCTCCTGAGCACTGACACTTCATGGATTAGAATGCTTCATTGTTACTGAATGAGTGCCAATGTTCTGTGCAGGACACTGCAGACCAAAGATTACAAGACACACTGTCCATTGTCCAGATCTGCTGAGCAGCCTGGGATGCACATAATAGCTCCTGAAACTTTAATGTGTGTGCAGCAAATGGGTGAGGTAGATTGCAGGAATGAAGCTTGGTAGTGTTGAATTCAAAGAAGCATTCTGAAATTCTGTTACCAGACAGTGAGAGTGATGCCCTGTCTTTGGGCAGCTTTCCTGTGTAGTTTTGGATAGATACTCCTCATACATTGTCAGAACTCCTCCAGGACAGTTCCCTGTGGCTGAACAAATGCATTGATAGCTCAGAAAGTAAGTGATGGATGGCTTCATCTATTGGAAGGGAAGTGAGGCACTGGACCTCTGGGAGGTTTTGGGGCTTTTAAGTGAAAGAAAGTCACTATTCCCACTTTTATGCTTGTAAGGAAATCTGCTGTGTCAGTGCCACTTAATTCAGTCACCTTCTGTTAGCATTTTATTGGTGTTCAGTCTACTGCAAATTCAGCTTAGAGCTTTTGAGGTCATTGTGTCAAAATCAAGATGGTTTGAAAGATACTGGAATAGATGTCAAATACGTCTATGAAGACTTCTTTGCATTTCAGTACTCCCCAATCCAGCCTATCCTGTCTCTTTTTCAGGCTTGTTCCCTAGCACCAACCCCCTCCTCTTTGTACAGAGAATGTATTTATAGCTACACTGGTGACTCATTTTTCTGCAATTACACCTACCCATTTTCCTGCCATGTTCCTCTTCCTCCAGCTTGATTTATGTCAGTACCTCCTCCACCTTCAGCCTCATTGATATGCCAAGATAACCAGTCTAGTGCATCTAGCAGCTGCCTTAAGTGCTGTTTTCAGATCTTCCCCATTCCAGTGCTTGCTTTGACCAGAACTTGCCATGACCATTTCACCCCTGGAGCCATCTGGCTATACCATGCATAGCATTTAACCTGGTCTGAGCAAAGACTCTATTCTAAATGACAGAATGTGAAACTCAGCACATTTCCTGGAGGAAAGGTCCAGCTGAAAGATAAGGCCAGCAAGAGCATCTTAGAGGAAATAAGGGGTCCAGTTAAGAGCTGCCACCCATGTGGGACCTACAGAGTTATGTAGTTAGAGGTACAGCAGATTTCTTAATTAGCTGAAGGGCAGCTCATTGTTGGAGAGCTTGACCACAGCTGTTGGCACGTGGAGCCAGTGTTGGCTCATTCTTTGCCAGCTTCTCTCTCAAGCACAGTGGTTACATGCAAGTTACAGAACTACAGAACCAGTGCTTTGAAGGCACAATTCCAGACTCCTGCTTATAAACAATCACATGTTTTCCAGCTTAACTAGGCAAAATGGGTCACTGCTGTATCAGCTGGTGTCTGGAGGGATGAAGAGTAATTGGGAGCTAGAAAAAAATGTTGCTGCTGATGACTGGAAACCTGCCATTTCAGGCTGTGGTAGAGGAGCCTAATGTCTGCAGTGACAATAATGTAAAGAGGCAAATCTTACCATCTGCTGCTTTTTAATAGTGATAAAAATGTCCTAATTATCAGGAAATGTCTATTGTACCGTGAATGATACAGATCTTCTGTTTAGGTTTACAGAGAAAGGGGGATTATGTTTAGCGTAAGAAAACAATGATAAGCAACAATAAGATTTAGCTCCTTTTCCCCACAACCCCGTGAAGCTTTAAAGCTCAGTTCTTTTTCCTTAACTAGGATTTTGTCTTTCTTCCCACTTTCCCCTACTGTTTACTGGCATGCAGTTCACCAAAGGATACTCCTGAGAGCCAGATTTACAGCATTTATTCGTGTGCTTTAAAAGAATCCTGTCTGTGGCACAATATCTATATCCTGTGCTTCTGTCAAGAGAAGTAAGGCAAGACCTCCAAGCCTCTATCAGCAGAGTAATGTAGAGCTAAATTACTTCAGTATCTGTTGACCCTAGATAGGAAAGCTGGATAAATATGCTTGGTTTATCATGAGATTTTCTTCCACAGATTACTTCTTTGCATATAATTTGGTCTTTGCCAATGATCATGAAGCAACAACTTGAAGTTTGTTGTCAATCTCTCTATTGCTACCTTATTACCAAATAAAACTTAAATGCTAAGGGATACTAATTTAACCTACAATATCAGTAAATCTAAGAGTAATTCACACTAAATATATATATATATATGATATTCAAAACCAAAGTATAATTGCTTGTAACACTTATCTTCACTTAACAAAAGATTCTCCTTGAAAATGTCTTTCAAACTACAGTAATTTCTCTGGCTAGTAGTAATTTTATCTTAAATGATGGGACCTTAGGAGTTCTAGGTTTTCCACAAGTGATGGCACACATCCCAGAGATCTTGCTGATCAAAGCTTTTGCAGGAAAGTTCATTTAATGTGACAGTTTGGTGGGAGGGAGCAGGAGGAATAGGTGTCACAGAGGGAGCTCAGGGAGAAGAGAGCCATAATTTACTTCACAAAGTTTAAAATGCACAAAAGACAGACTTGAAAAAGTGTCTAAATTGAAGAAAATAAAAATAATGTTAATGTCTTCCCCAGACTATTAATAAGATGTCACCTACATCTTTAAAGCTGACTCTCAGACAGCTCAGAGAAGGAGCTTCCATGAGCTTACAGGAGGTACTCCGGATGGAATACAGACTGAGCCAAGCATGCATGGTAAGCAACAGCTGAGCCCCTTGTCCCTTTCCAGCCACAGGGGGAGAACAGTTTACTAGAGACTAAAAATTTTATGTAGCTTTCATCAAGAGCTTATAGGTTTTAGCTTTCAGTATCATCTTTGCGTGTTTGTGAGGCTGTCACTTTTTTCTCATTTCATGTTATTATATGGAATGCAAAGGACACTACATTAATGATGCTCAGATGGGAATGTAGAAGACTTCTGTTAAAATATGAAAACATTAATATATAGTTTCCTATTTGGATTGTAGTTTTAAAACTGTTGTTCTTGAACAGGTTTTCTATTCAAATTACTTAGCCCTCAGTTCCCAGCAGCAGGGTGCAAATAGTTGTTTATCATTGCCTTTCAAGAGTGTTGTCTATGAAAAATTTATCACAGCAAGAGATTTTAGTGCTATTTGTACTAAGTGCTGAGTACTTGGATAGCATATGAGAAAGTGATCCTTCCAGTGGAACAGAGTTGCTAACTGAACAAATTCCTTACAGAGTTTGCCATGGCATCCTTATTATTAGTTTTGTCACATTTTAAAATAAAGTTTTTATGTGTCCAATTATTTATGATGGTTAAAGTAAATACTTAAAGAAGTGAAAATTTGTCTAATTCTGATATGTTCTAATGCCTGACTAAAACCAAGATTGTGGCTCCATTTCTAGTGAAGCGTGCTTAGGGATTTAAATGTTACATTTCCCTTTTTTAAAAAACAACTGGATGTTTACAGGGTTCCAATTAACTGCAAAATGTTCCAAGTATGCAGAATACATCACAAGACTGGCCTTTCTCAAAAGAATTTCTGATACTGCACACCTTAGCCCCTTTATGTGAACCTCTTTAGAAAAAGATCTGAGGTGTTACACAGAGAGAACTGGGACTGTGGCACAGTTCCTGATCAGCTACAGGTCGACAGACTGGTGTTAAAAGATGTGGCTGCATTTAAGCAAGAAGATACACAGCTCATTAATAAGTAAAGACAAAGTAGGCCTAGAAAAGAACAGTACAAGTGGGATTTAACTGAATTTTGAGAATGTGTATTTCAAGCAGAAGTGGGATAGGGAAAGATGGGATAAATAGGATCTGTCATGTTACAGCTTTTTTTTTAATAATCTTTCAGAAAGGCCATGACTTCTACGAAGGGGTTCGAGCAGGTAAGTATTCACACCAGAAACATTCCTCAAGCTTAATAGCACACAAACTCACAATTGTGGTGCTTCTTTGGAAATCACTATAAGTGCATGCAGCAACAGCCCAAAAAAACTTCCCAGCTTTCCATAACTTATAGGACTTCTATGTGGCCAAAATTTGTTATTGTTCCAAAGCACAAGAACCATGTTGTTTCCTTTGTGCAGTCTCAGTTCCCTAATGTTATTTATCCCCCTGGTTGCACCATTTTACATTTAACACTGACAGTACTGAGGATCTGCGTGCATCACTTGTGTCCAGGTTTAGTGTTGCCACTGATCTGGTTCAGCCAGCTACCCAGTGCTTTGAGACTCAAAATCAAAAACAATTGCTCATATAGAAAACTGTTAGAGCAAAGACTTACTTTCCTCCATGTCCAGAATATCTCTGGATGGAAGTGTCTTACTACTAAAAAACTATATATGTAAACTTAACATTAACTAATTCAGCATTTTAAGGCATTGGTGAAGAGAGGTTGTGGTAAAAGCAGAGCGATGGCTCAGCAAATGCATCTAGGGGACAGACTTCAAGCCTGTCCTTGATCCTGCTGCTGATTCACTGCGCAGTTTGTCAAACCCAAAGTCACATCTGTTAGGAGTTGTAGCAATTATTTATGTACTATTCATCACGAGATGAAATAAAGCAAAGGCATTTCTTTTTCCAAGAAGCTTACAGTACAAGGCATTTCAACTTTTGGTTGAACTTTTAATTCACACAGTTACATACTCAAGTATTATCACCTCCTCCTCATTATTTTATGTCTGTCTTTATAAAACAGTTTAAATTCCACTTGAGGAATGGATATTAGTTGGAGTGTCTGCTATTAGTAACACTGTACTAAAGATAGCCTGGGGTGAGAAATGCAAAATTTATCCATCCAGCATAGGGAAGGTTTCTGGTTTTAATTAATTAGTCTTTAGCACTTATTAACAGACACTCCTTTGAAGAATTTACCACACATGTTGAAAAGTGGTTTTCATTAAGTTGGTAATGGGGACAAGGATATCTTAAAAATACTTTTCCTGGGATATTTTCTAAATCAGCAAATAAGCTGCTGAAATGTAGTTATTCAGGAAGTGACAAACTCTCTGAGAGTCAGAGGAACACCAACTGAATTTCTCCTTGCAAGGCACAAGGTCATGAAACCATCTGGGACCACAGTACAGTACAAAGGCAAATCCCTGGTCAGTATGGCCAGGAAATACACAAACTGCTTGTAAAGAGAGAGGCTGAAAGAACAGCAGTTGAGAAGCTTCTTTTTTATACAGGATGATGCAGCAAAAGTTTAACTGTATCAGAGGAAGGAAAAAAACAAACTCAAAAATCCAGATGCACTGAGGGGATTGCATATAATAATAATAATAATTTGTTCCTGAAGCACATTTCTTCTCTGCTTACTGGATGGATCCTGTTCTCAGATTTTCAGTCTTAGCATTGTTTCTCTTGTTGCAGAGGAGTGTAGAATCTGACTCAAGATCACTTTTGTAGTTTGTTCTATTTTCATAAAAATCATTATCCATCAATGTGCTGAGCATCCTTTTTAACAGGAAGGGAGATTATTAAGTACTTCACAGGACCAACCATTATGAATAAAATTGATAAAAGTGTTAAGTATTAGCCTTCTCTTTCTTAAAGCCTTATATTACGAGCATTTAAGAGCTGGCTCTTGACCTTCTCTACCACCAAAAGATGTTGAGTTACAACAATCAGATTTTAGTTTAAGAATGTTTCTCAGCAGCCGATGGCCACAGGTCAGGTTTTACTAATACCTTTCATCTGCTTCAAACCATAAATTTAAAAGGCTTTCTAGGGAGTAGTTTTAAAGCTTTTAAAACCAGCTTTGACCTGAGGTCAAAATATCTCTTTTTTCTTTCAACCTGAAAATCTGCTGTGGCAGTCTTCCCTGTTTATGATTCTTGTGATTGGAGTGATTAAAGAAAAGCCAAAACTCTTAAAGTATAAAACACACAGATCGTATTTCATCTGCATTTTCCTATAAAATGGTAAAAGTGGATTTGAAACACATTAGGTATCAATTTTTCACCTTGATTAATTGAATAATATGTCAACTAAGAAATGCATAGGTCTGGGGGGTTTCCAAGAATTGTTTTTCAAATTTTACTGCCTAAGAGAAGTGGCCATTTTTGGAGTGAGTGCTCAAACACATCCAGGCAGGATACAATCTCAGCAGCAAATCTCAGGGACAAATATCTGTTAACTCACTCTCCTAACTCTTTGTGCAGGAATGTGCACTTGAAATGGAATTGTAAAGGTCTTCTACATCTTGCTGATGCTGCAAATATGGTATTTCTGTGCAGCTTCTGCCACCTCCCCTGCAGGGCTGGCAGATGTGAGTGTACCCTGGGCACCCCAGGGCCCTGCAGGAGCCGAGATATTTTATGGCAGCAAACAGAATGTCAGGGGCTTGGAAGTACCAGACTTTTGACTGTGCTGGAGGAAGCTCAGCAAGAGAGCACTACCTGAAGTCTGGCAAAGTCTCTGCTAGTGAACAGAGGGGTTTGGGATTTTGATTTAAAAAAGTGAAACACAAGAACAAACCGTTAATACAATGTCTGTGATCAGTTACTTTTATCATAATGAATTTCTCTTAGCCTACCTTAGAAGTCTTCAGAATTTCTGTTTTCTTAATGATTGATCTCAAGCTGGAGAGATACAAAATAGAAAGAAGCCAATGTAGAAAGGGAATATTTTCCTGATTCTACTAGAAAACAAATATTTTGACTCATACAAGATTAAAGACTCCACTGGAGAGACCATTATGAGCATTAAGTTTATCCTCCAGAGTAAAACTGGCCACAGATCCAAACAGGAAGATGAACTTGAATAGACAGCAGTACCCTGGAGTGGAGAACTGGCAGCACTTACTGCAGCATGGCAGAGGGGAAGCTGTAGTAACATACACATGGACACTTTTTCCACTTTAATTTAAACCATCTCTAGTCAGTGTTGGCTTTTGTGAATAACAACTAGACTGTTTTGGCTAGACTGTGAACTTCAACTAAAACTGAAGAAATAAGTACTATTCCAGTGGAATAAATACAGTTGATTTGGGATAATTGCATCTTTTGATCCAAGCCAGTCAGTGGTTTCACCGTGTTCAGAAATACCCTGCTAGATCACAGCTTTTCAGTAAGTTACCCAGTTGAACAGCACAGTAAAAGCAGTCTTTTACAGGACTTTTCTTTTAAAGAATTGTCCTCATGAATTCAGTTTTCAGTGGAATTGCAGTTTCTCATATAATGGGTTACTTTTTACAATTAATCTGTTTCTAAGGAGTCCTTAGTTCCCTATTTACAAGTAAATAGGTGTAGGGCTCTGATTTGCCTTTCTCTTTGGGAGTGTAAGCTAAAACACTGTGATACCTGTGTATATTCAGCTACAGAAATATTAATTAGTGCAGTTGTCATTTGAATGGTGTGTATTTCCTAGCCATTCTCAACCACTGGTTAAAGACAGAAAAGTTAAAGAGAAGTTTTCAGGTCACTTTTTTCTACTACAAGTTGATAGGCAGACCATAATGCCTGTTTTTTTGATAAGCACAATCTTTAGGTAGGTATTCTTTTCACTGAACATAACATTCTACCCCCTTATGCATTCCTTATCTTGGATATTTGTAGTTCACTCTGTAAGAACAAACTCAGTTTAGAAAAGCATGACAGCTTACCCAAAAATAGCTGTTATTCTTGGAAATATCTGGTCACCTGCCTTCAGAATCACCCTCTTCTAAAGTCTCTTTGTTAGAAAATAGGTAAAAGCCATTCTCAGGAGAGAAATTTGAAATGTGCTTCCTCTTGCTGCTCATCCTCTCTTATATGCTGTGAGCTGTGTTGGTCAGGAGGTTTCTCCAGGCCACAGGTGCATCTCCAAATCAGTCGCTGATCTCACTCACCTGAAGGGAATGTGTGTTGTGAGGGTTGGCAATCAGTGCATCCTAGAGAGCTACAGTTCTTACAGCTGTTCTTCTTTAAATAAAAATTCCACATTCTCAGTAGCACCTCTATGAGTCTCGTAAAGCCTGAAAGGTGCTTGGAAGGATGCTCTGGAATTCCATTAAAACTCATCATTTTTACACACAAATTTAACTCCATGTTGTTTTATTGTTTGCTAATGCAGCCATCACTGACATCCCTTCAACATTCCTGTGATGCAGGGAATGTTCTTTGAGAATTGGCATTTTCTTGTCAGTCTTTTACATATGATTCATTCAGTGATGATTTTTATCTTCAGTAATGTATTTTCCAGGATGCAGCATAAAGATTATACTAAGATTATACAGATTGCCACAGTTAAATCTACCCAGGCCTCAGCAGCTGTCAGTATTTACAAATAAACACCCTCGGTTCCCACAAAAATACCTGGCTTTACTATCTCCTTGTGAGTTATTTCATTATTAATGTGATGTGTTTAAATTAGTTTTAGGCACTTAGCAGCACTGAGTCATCTCCTGTACTCTCCCAAGAGTCAGATTTTGCACAGAGGTGTGAAAGCCTTGTCCAAAAGGAGCACCGAGATGTACCATTCGCAGGCTCCCATGAAGAGGCGTAAGTCAGCCAAGAGTGGCAGGTCTAACGAATCCACTCATTTCAGGTGTATTCCTTCAAATCTTGGGCTGCTTCTGAAGTGATTCACTGCTCCTTGTATCATCTGGCAACTCCCAGAGACATCTCTGGACAGGTCACAACTCAGGAACATTGATTAGAGTAGAAATATCTCTGTTACAAAAGCTGCCTTCTCCAGAGCACATGGATTTGTCTCCCCCATGGAATCACTGTAGTGATCTGTCTTGATGCAATCTTAAGTCATTTAATTAGAGGAAGTTTATGAGTAACTTTGGTGTTTCTCTGTTCCACCTGGCAGTGCTGATTGACAAAGACCAGTCCCCCAAATGGAAGCCAGCTGCTCTAGAAGAAGTCAGCGATGAATTTGTGGACAATTG